TGAAATATATATATATTAAAGGATAAAAAGTCCTTTAATGCATTTCATTTGAAAAAGTAAAAATGAGAATCCTTCAAAAAAATATTATAAGCAATAAGAATAGACTTCAAATTGAATCATCCAAGGTTTAACAATTTCCAACAAGACACTTGTTCAAGTAGCGAATTATCTCAAATACGCTCATGTAATATGACCATTTGCAAATCATAAAGGAGAATGCGATAGAGTTTCTCAGGTGAAGGAGAGTGGAAATGCAGTCCTGATTGGAGAAGATGTCCGTTTGGTAGGGAATATGACTATGTAAGGAAAAAAGTAAACTACTAGATCTATTAAGAGGTGTTAAGATTTCAGAAGGGAAAGAAGATAGGAGGGTGTGGAAATTTGATGGTGGTGGGGTATATTTCATCAAGAAAGCAAATTCTTTAACAATGCCGACTTACAGGATCTTGGATCGTATGTATATTGCAAAGCCATTTGGGACAATCTTGTTCTGGGCAAAGTTAGCTTCTTTGCTCGGAGAATGTCTTTGGACAGGTTTTCTAAAGTCAATCTGCTTAAACGAGGAGTCCAAGTGGATGCAGGATGCAACAAATGCATAAGATGTTGAGAGGAAGCAGAGGAGGCCTCTTTGGAATGGGCGCAATAACTTCGTGTTCAGGGGGCCGGATACTTCAATGTAGGACATATTTAAGGCCATACGAGATTGATTGTTTTCATGGTTGAAAGATAGATAAACGGGATCTCTGTATTCTTTCTTTGATTGGAGAAACAGGCCTTATGAATGTGCCATGCCCTAAGACTGAGAGCGAAATAGACGCCCTAAAACTGAGAGTGAAATAGACGGTGTGTATTTGTGGGAGGTGCATTTGTGAGAGACTCCCACAAATACACAAGGTTCAAAACCTACTTAATTCATAATGTATAATTCATATCTAGCAATTCACTAAACTAAGATTAATATTTCAAAATAAAATCTAACTTTTATAACCAAGGCTTGACCAAGTTAAGACTGCACAAAATTATACAACTCCATCAATATAGCCATAATTATCTCCAAGGGAATCTAGTCTACAAAAAAATGATCTATATCCCAAAATCTATGTCCAAAAATAATTTGTCTAGCAGCCTAACTCCAAAATAATCTAAGTTCAAAATACAAGTGGTTAGCCTTTTAGCTCATCACTCCCCTTGGTTCCTTGCATCTTGATCTCGCTACCTAAAATAGTGGATGAGGAAAACCATAAGAGATAACTCAATAAATAAAAATATAAGTAGCCCTTATTTAAATTTAAAACATGATAGATAACAATTTAAAACATAAACCAAAGAAAAAATCTCATATATAAACAATTAATAGATAGTAAAACTCATTAGTGGTCTCCTCAATTAGTCATGGCTAGTATTTAAAAAACTCCCACTAGCAAGCGTTAGAAATAACTAATGTACTATCCTACTGGCAAGATAACACGAATAAATCAAGACAAACTAGTTTTCCAAGAATACACATCGACATGTGCCAGCATTTATAGTTCCCATTGGCGGGCTTTAGGAATCATGACCATAGATGGAGATAAAACCATGTAGGAGTTAACAGGAAAATTCATAATTTACAAACCAATTTTAGATTATTAGGACAATCAACTAAATCCCATGTAGGCATGCTCAACTTAATAAAAATAATAACAACTTCATTTCAAACTAGTCATGCTCATATGCAAATGAAAATCAATTTAAGTCCTCCGCCACCACCTCAAAAATAGTTCAAAATATGCTTTTAAAACTTTTACCTTAAAAATTTGAGGGCATTTACCATAGTTTTACTTACCCATCTTGTTGGTAGACAACTAGCAAGGAATTCAAGAACTCAAGACAGTTGAAGTGATTTAGAACTTATACTACATTAAAAGAACAACAAAATTACAACATACCCTATTTAACTAAATTACTTCCCAATTTCACCATCTAGTTTGTAATTGAAGAAACAATTTCTTTCTGCACACCCTTGCCACTTCTACCCATTGAAACCTTATTAATATATTAATATGTTTATTTATAGTTAAAATATGCTTAAAACAGCTTTAAGTGTTACTCAAAATATCAAGTATTCCAAACAAATTCTCTAGGTAAAACAAAGTATAGAAATAGTGAGAAATCGAGCTCTAAACTATCCTAAACACCAGTAAAAATATTGGGCAACAAGGCGAGGTTTCCACCATTTGAAACAGTTCCAAAATGTTTAGAAAAAGCCTTGAATAATAGGGATTATTTGGCAAAAACAACAGTAAAAGCAGTGCAGAATATAAGCCAAAATTGGGCAAAAATGGACAGTATTTAAGCAGAAATGCAACAGCTAAATGTGACTAAAAATTTGGACAATTTTGTGCAAAATTTTCAAGCAAAACATCACTGAAACATGACAAATCTTTAGTGGTTTAATCGAGGATAACAGAGCAAACTTGTAGTAGCAGCAGCAAAATAGAATAATAACAAGGGGTTCTAAAGTAGAAAAATAGCAGTCATTGAAAAATGAAATTTTGAGCAGTTCTTAGTTGTTTTGTGTGTGATTTATGTGCGAAAAAATCATCTGATCAGGTGTTCTTTTTACAGCATAAAACCTAGCAATAATACATGTTTTTAAACAACAGATATGTATAATTTTTCAATAGCAAAACAAGTTGAAATTGAGGCAGCAAAAACAGACAAACAAGAGAAAAAATTAGCACTTATGATTGAATAACAAGGAGGCTAACTCACCAAAACAGTAGGGAAATTTTGATAATTTTTTGAGAATAACCAGTAGAAGAATAAGCAAATAAAAAAAAAAAAAAGCTTATTCCAACACACCCAAAACAGAGGTAGAACTGAACCCAAACAGTAAAGATGCACACAAAAATAATAGGAAATCATGAATAAAAGAGGAATGATGAATAGCAACAATCTCTAAAATTTCCTTAAAATCTTGATCCATAAGTGGAAACTCTAGGTGCAATTTCATTCTTAAGAGGGAAGAAAAGGGAAATCAAGTCTTGGAACATTTGCTACATACCTAAATTTCTAGTGAAGGAGATCAATGATGTTAATCATGTGGTTGGCAAAAATTGAAGGGGAAAACTAGAACTAACTACCTCAAAATCAAAGATAGCAAAAGATTAAAGTTAACCCACTCAATCAAGGATGAAAAGATGAATTGTAGCTGTTTTTTTTACTAGAAAATGCTGAAAATGACGACCTCCTACACTGCTCAATTAACCCGACAAAAACCAGGAGATTGGAGGGAATCAATAGCAAGGTTTGGAATTTGATCATCATTTTTAGAGCCATAAGCTTATTAATCTCTAAACCTTACTAGGAGAAAGAAGAAAAAGCTAAGCCTCACTTGTTTTTTCAATAAGGCATTGGGTGTAGACTAGGGCTTGTTGAGGCAAAATTCTAGTGAAGGGCTACGGGGAATCATGTAAGAGGGTAAGGAGAAAAAAAGAAAATCAGCTTTAACCCCTTTATCACCAAGTTCTCTATTTAGGTTTGTAAATTTTAGTTATTAGGTCCAATGATAATAATTTCTCCTATATAAGTTCCTAACCTTCATCTTTTCTTTTCTTTTTTTCCAAAGATTTCGGAAAATTTTGGGATATTACAAAATGTATGACTGCAATTTGAGAAAGCAATTGATGGTTTATCAAATGAAATGTTAAGAATAGGAAAGGAAAAAATTTTGTGTAAATATATAGGCAAATTACCCTTGTAGTCTAAAATAACAAAATTCTTTTAGTTAATAATAATAAAAAAAAAAAGGAATAGAATTTCTCAAATATGATGCTCATGCATGTGATCATTATAGTAGATCACATTAAAATCTACTAAATTTTAATTGTATGTCGCATAATGGCTATTCTATTGAAATCGTAAATAAGAATGAGATAAAATTTCTTAATGTCTCATCTTTAACATCTGCAGAATTGGAAAAAAGCAAATATGGAAAAAAAAAAAAAAAAGGAGATTTGGTTTTGCACTTTTCTCTTTTAGATTATACTAGTATTGTTACTAAATTTATGAATTACTCAGTTGAAATCATTCACATGATATTAGTATTAAAAATAATATTTATTTTTATATTTTTTATAAAAATTTATTGTAAAAAAGTATAATAATTTATTCTTAACATGTGAATATAGATTAAAAAAATTCTTAAAATTTTTTAAATCAAAATCTTCCTTGAACTTTGAAAATGAGACCCTAAAGTATGTTTTATAAAGTCTCTAGCCCTTCCCGCCACTAACATTTCAAAATTGTTTCTTCACGTCATAACCTAATTTATTCTATCCCTTTTGATATTTTTTGTCAAAAATCTTGATTTTTTTAAAATATTAATTTCTCACAAATTCCTAAGTATAAGTGAAAAATTTTGAAAATTATGAGCTTTTACGTGATGTAGGGAGTTAATTCGGAAAATTTGTCAAAGAAAAATCAAGATTAAATTGAATTAATCATATTTCGTACTTGATTGAAAATATTTAAAATGTGGGAGTTGTTTTTCCGGGACTGAAATTTAACATGCTAGGAAATGAGGAACCAAAGTTGTTTGGGCAGCTTCACAAAATCTAGTTGACACAAGCTGACCAGCATAGAGACCTGCAAAACAGACCCGAGGGTTATTCCTCTGGTAGACACTCCGACGCCCAAGTTAGTAATATTTTATACTTGGGGTTCTCTTTAGAGAGAGAAATATAGTAGAGAGAGAAGAGCTCTCCGAAAAGTCCTCACCTTTGAGGGGTGTAGGACTATTTATAGGTCCTTTGGAAGTGCTTTACACGTGTTGCACTTCTATTGCTCCCTTTGGATCCATTTGAGTGTATATGAGCTCCATTGTGACTCATGGGCATGCTCCTTTGTATTTGGGCCTTATGGGCTAGTTAGATCACTATCCCAACATTACTCCCCCTCCAGTGATTTGTAAGCTTGCTGAAAAATCACAAGGGTTTAGCTTCTTGCTTTTTTAGGTTGTAGAGGGGTCTGATTTATTCTTGAGGAATCTGGCTTGGAAACCTTGATTTGAGATTTCCAACCTGTAAGCTGAGAGTGATGACCTAAAATCAGGGAGCTCAGATTGACGACCTGAAACTAGGAACCCCAGGAGTGACGACTTGGAAGCATGAAGCTTGGGAGTGACGACTTGAAACCAGGAAGCTCAACAGTGACGACTTGGAAGCAGGAAGTTGAGGAATGACGACCTGAAACCAGGAAGCTCAACAATGACGACTTAGAAGCAGGAAGCTGAGGGGTGACGACTTGGAAGCAGGAAACTGAGGGGTGACGACTTGAAACCAGGAATCTTAGGCATGACGACCTGGAAGCAGGAAGCTTGGGAGTGATGACCTGAAACCAGGAAGCTCAGCAGTGACGACCTGGAAGCAGGAGCTAAGGAGTGACGACCTGAAACCAGGAAGCTCAGGAGTGACGACCTGAAACCAGGAATCTCAGGCGTGACGACCTAGAAGCAGGAAGCTTGGGAGTGATGACCTGAAACCAGGAAGCTCAGCAATGACGACCTGGAAGTAGGAAGCTGAGGTGTGACGGCTTGAAACTAGGAAGCTCAAGAGTGATGACCTGGAAGCAGGAAGCTGAGGAATGACGACCTGAAACTAGGAAGCTCAGGAGTGACAACCTGGAACCAGGAAGTTCAAGAGTGACAACCTGGAAGCTCATGGGTCATAATGTAGAAACCAAATCTCTGACGATCACGCTCTATAGAGCTAAGATTGAATGCCAATCGGGCAATTAGAGGTGTCTACCTTGAGATCCCTCATTGGGATGTTTAAATGAAAATCTTAGCCTCTTAGGTCACAACATAGAAATCAAACCCTTTAAGGGTTGTGCTCTGTAGAGCTGTAATTGAACTGAGCTTTCATAGAACAAATGAGCTAAAAAGCTAATAGCTGATGGGCACAAGCTTTTGTAAAGTAAATGAGTTGATCATTTTTAAGAGCTTTGAGCTTTGTGATTGGAGCCTACAACCTTTAAGGGTGTTGCTTGAAATCTGGTCCAAGCACTTTATATTGGAGTTCTGAGCTCACCACACATGGTTTTTGCTCAATTTCACTAAAGCCTCAATATAATTTCTCTAGAGCCCACTCATTAGCATCTCAATTGGAATTCTCTTTTGAAGCTCGCCCATGTTGTGTTTTAAATAATTAATTCTTCATAAGAGTTTACCCATGTAGGGTCTTAGCTCATTCTATGAGTTTGTAATTCTTTGTTGGACCATTCAAGTCAGAGTATTCTGGATTATCTGGAGCTAACCCATTTGGGATTTCAGCTCGTTATTCTGTGAGAGTCTACCCATGTAGGGTCTTAGCTTGTAATTATGTGTAGGAGTCCACTCATGTAAGGTCTCAGCTCGTAATTCTTTATCTGAGCTTTCTCAGCTCATCGCTCGTCATTTTTTTTTAGAGCTCTACAAGCTCGTAAATCTTTGTTTGAGCTATGTCAAGTCGCAATTCTTTATTGGAGCCTTATAAGCTCATCACTCTTTATTGGAGCTCTATGAGCTGGTCATTCTTCATCAAAGCTCTCTGAGCTCATCATTCTTCATTAGAGCTCTTTCAGCTCATCATTCTTCATCGGAGCTCTGTGAGCTCGTCATGCTTTGTTGGAGCTTTTTCAGCTCGTCATTCTTCATTAGAGCTCTTTCAGCTTGTCATTCTTCATTGGAGCTCTGTGAGCTCATCATTCTTCATCGGAGCTCTGTGAGCTCGTCATGCTTTGTTGGAGCTTTTTCAGCTCGTCATTCTTCATCCGAGCTTTGTCAGCTCGTCATACTTTGTTGGAGCTCTATCAGCTCGTCATGCTCTGTTGGAGCTTTTTCAGCTCATCATTCTCTGTTGGAGCTCTATCAGCTCGTCATTCTCTATTGGAGCTTTATGAGTTCGTCGTTCTTCATCAGAGCTTTATGAGCTCATCAGTCTTCATTAGAGCTCTTTCAGCTCGTCATTCTTCATCGGAGCTCTGTGAGCTCATCATTCTTCATCGGAGCTCTATGAGCTCGTCATGCTTTGTTGGAGCTTTTTCAGCTCGTCATTCTTCATCGGAGCTTTGTCAGCTAGTCATGCTTTGTTGGAGCTTTGTCAGCTCGTCATGCTTTGTTGGAGCTCTGTCAGCTCGTCATTCTCTGTTGGAGCTTTTTTAGCTCGTCATTCTCTGTTGGAGCTCTGTCAGCTCGTCATTCTTTGTTGGAGCTTTTTCAACTTGTCATTCTCTATTGGAGCTTTATGAATTCGTCATTCTTCATCGAAGCTCTATGAGCTCGTCGTTCTTCATCAGAGCTTTGTGAGCTCATCATTCTTCATCAGAGCTTTGTGAGCTCGTCATTCTTTGTGGGGAGCTTTGTGAGCTCATCATTCTTCATTGGAGTTTTGTGAACTCGTCATTCTTTGTTGGAGCTTTGTGAGCTCATCATTCTTCATTGGAGTTTTGTGAACTCGTCATTCTTTGTTGGAGCTTTGTGAGCTCATCATTCTTCATTGGAGTTCTGTGAGCTCGTCATTCTCTGTTGGAGCTTTGTCAGCTCGTCATGCTTTGTTGGAGCTTTGTCAGCTCGTCATGCTCTGTTGGAGCTTTGTCAACTCGTCATGTTTTGTTGGAGCTTTGTTAGCTCGGCATGCTTTGTTGGAGCTTTTTCAGCTCATCATTCTTCATTGGAGCTTTGTCAGCTCGTCATGCTTTGTTGGAGCTTTTTCAGCTCGTCATTCTCTGTTGGAGCTTTGTCAGCTCGGCATGTTTTGTTGGAGCTTTGTCAGCTCGTCATGCTCTGTTGGAGCTTTGTCAACTCGTCCATGCAGGGTCTCAGCTCATAATTCTTTTTGAAAGGCTTACCAAATAAAGATTTGGATCTTGCCTAACTTGAGTGGAGATTTGGCTCTTGCACAACCCTGCTCATTTATTGATGGGGCCTTCAAGTGGTAGATAAAACTCTGATGTAAGAGCTCACCAAATGGAGATTTGGATCTTGCTCAACCTTGCTCATCTATTGATGAGGTCTTAGGGTGGTAGATAAAACTATGATGTAGGAGCTCACCAAATGGAGATTTGGATCTTGCTCGGCCCTACTCATCTATTGACGAGGTCTTGGGGCAAGCTCAAGGAAAACATTGCTGTAAGAGCTCACCAAATGGAGATTTGGATCTTGCTCGGCCCTGCTCATCTGTTGACGAGGTCTTGGGGCAAGCTCAAATTATTCACGCCTTTGTTCTTCAAACTTTGATGTAGAATGTAGAATGTAGAATGTAGAATGTAGAACTCCCCTTATTTCTCCCCCTTCTTGTCTGAATTTATTCAGAGAAGCTTCTAACTTTTTGATATTATATGGGGAGCTTCATATATGTTGATTAGGCCAACCTAATTTACCTGTTCCCTGCACTTTTCCATCTCTAAAATAGCAACACATATATATTTATAATCATGAGCGCAAATGAGCAAAATAGAATGATTATGATATATATAAAAAATGAGATGGCAAAATGATATCATGAATGCAAAAACAAGTGCATAATGAATGGAAAAAATGTAGAACGAATGCAAGAAATACAGAAAGCAATTAATAATAAATTTTAATATAAGGTTGGACCAAGCTTGGACCAAAGCTCTAGTTTGCTACGGAGCTTGATTGCTTTCTTGACAACCTGTATCACAAGGACTTGAAAAAAAGGAGAAATCAAAGGCATCCAATCTTATAATCAAGAAAGTATACTTCCTTCATACATATTATTGTAAAATTTATGCCGTGATATTATTGATGTTGGATGAGTTTTATGAAATTTTACTTAATTTACATAATTTTCATTTTTTTCTGCTGGAAAGAACTTAATTGGAAGAAATCATAATTTTTAAGAATAAATTGCAAAGATGTGAAATTTGAGGATTAAATTGTGCAGAATCTATAAGTAAAGGATAGGGACTGTAATTTTACCGTTAACAAAATTTGCAGAGAAGGACAAAAACCCGACACGGGCTCTGCAACACTGATGCAGAAAAAGTGTCGACACATTGTTGAGGGTGTTGACCCTTTGCGATTCATGCCGCACATCTTTCAGGTCGACCTTGGGTAGGATATTTGCATCTCTGCAGCTCATGCTCAAGCAGGTTGCATGCAGCTCATGCTCCACATATTTTAGCTCAACCTCGGGTAGGATGCTTGCAGCTCGGCATCTCGTACTCGGCAGATCGTGCTCGAGTTCATCATGCTTTTAAGCTCGGCAGCTCGTGTTGGAGTTCTGCATCATGCCTTTGAGCTCGGCAGCTCGTGCTGGAGTTCTGCATCATGCCTTTGAGCTCGGCAGTTCATGCTTGAGTTCTGCATCATGCTTTTGGGCTTGGCAGCTCGTGAGCTCGTGCTTGAGTTCTGCATCATGCGTTTGAGCTCGGTAGCTTGTGAGTTCGTGTTTGAGCAAGATGCAGCTCCTGCTCCACATCTTGCAGCTCGTGCTTCAGCACTTCGCAACTCATGCTCCAGCAGTTCACAGCTCGTGCTCTTGCAGACTTCGCAACTCGCGTTGTAGCAGGGATTTTGCAACTCATGCACCAGCATGAAGTTCGTGGCTCATGCTCCAGCTGGGACTTCACAGCTCGCGCTCAAGCAAGGATTTTGCAGCTTGTAGAGATTTTCATACTGGCAAGCTGCCTGGTCAGAGACTCATCTCTTGGATTCCCATTGAGATCGCCCTGTTTGCTAGCTTGTTTTTCTAGGAACTCTCATCTTAACTCCTTTTATTCCATTGTTCACATGGATGTGGAAGTGCCACTTCAAGCCGGCAACTTTCACCAAAAGTATGTAACACATATTTGATGTGTTTTGTTGTGAGTTGTTGAGTATCCATGTGTAAAAAAGTTTGCAAAGCTTATTTATGAACCGGATGAAATATAGCTTCTTTTCTTGTTTCTTGTCAAAAATGGATCTATAGACCTGGGGAGAAGCTAGATCTACAATGACAGCAAAGCAACAAAGCTTTTTATTCAGTTCCCACAGACGGCGCCAAATGTTTGGGCAGCTTCACAAAATCTAGTTGACACAAGCTGACTAGCATAGAGACCTGCAAAACAAACCCGAGGATTGTTCTTCAAGTAGACACTCCGACGCCCAAATTAGCAATATTCTATACTTGAGATTCTCTTTAGAGAGAGAAATATAGTAGAGAGAGAAGAGCTCTCCGAAAAGTCCTCACCTTTGAGGGGTGTAGGAGTATTTATAGGTCCTTTGGAAGTGCTTTACATGTGTTGCACTTCTATTGCTCCCTTTGGATCCATTTGAGTGTATATGAGCTCCATTGTGACTCATGGGCGTGTTCCTTTGTATTTGGGTCTTATGGGCCTTTATTTTATTTATGGGCTAGTTAGATTACTATCGCAACAAAAGTGAGAGGTGAAAGCAAGTCGCGGATTATCTTGCAAAATTGATCTTCCAACTGCGTCGTTTTTTAGAAGGAAACAAATAAATCGGGTTAGGGTTTTTTTAGAAGAATTTGCTGTTGTTTTGTGCGCGCATTTGCGTTCAGTGCTTTGGGCTGCTGTGTTATTTTTCCATTTTTTGCAAGAGTCTCTCTTTTTTCTGGGTTTCTAGGGCCTGATTGGAGGAGACAGATAAACTCAAAAAATATATTTTTTTGAGTCATTTATACTTCGGATTCAGTCGGATGTTAAGGATTGATGGATGTTGTTTATGGGTTAGGTTTACTCGTACGAATCAAGCCTGACCCGTTTGTTTTTAGATAATGAGTTGGACCTCTTTAGGCCCGACCCGATGTCATGAACTCATGTTTCTGAACCCTGCTTAAGCAAAATATTTTTAGACCCTTCGCATGCCCATTCGGAGGCCCGAACTTATTTGAAATAAAAAAGGAAAAAAAGAACAAAGAAGCCCACTTTTCTTTTTTCAAAAATGTTATAAATATAATGTTACATGATATTTTAAATTTATAATAGAATATATTATTATATAATTAACTTTTTTTTATTTAGAGATTCACCCATCATATTGGATATATCAACTAATTTAATATCGCATCATATTCATTTAATATAATATTATAATCAAAGTTTATAACTTGTATGATATTGTAGTTATAGCATCTTTTTTAATGGCAAATGAAATTAAATCAAAGAATAATTATTTATTTTATTAACTTGAATTTGACTTATCTTAATTAATCATCATTGACAAAGTCATCATTTAAAAAAATATATTGTTAATTTCACCTAAAAATTTCAATTTTATGCAATTGAGTCCTTTAAATTTCAATCTAATTCAATTCTGTCCTTGAAGTTTTATGTTATCCGATCTGGTCCATATAGTTTTAAACACTTCCATTTAGTCCATTTCCTTTTAAATTGTTTCAATCTGATGCCTCACTTTCAATTTACTTTAATTGGGTACATGAGCTTTTAAACTCCTTCATTTACATCCATGCATATTTAAATTGTTTCCAATAACCCTTTTTCACTAAAAAAAATGTTTTATAAGTTTAAATAAACTTTGCAATTTTTTAAGTATGTAATCGTATGTTATACAGGGAATTATGAGGTGTGTTTATATTTTTTTATACTTCTAACCATACACTTAAACCCGGTTTTTTTATATAGATCATATTTTAAATGACTTTTTTTACCTTATAATTTGAATGAGTGACAACTTTTGATTTTTTAAATCATAACACTTAATTTTTCATATATTTTAGTTTTAAAATTTTAAGTGAGTAGTCAACACTTTGTCCATTCTATGTTACTAATTTTTTATGTTAAACTTGACAAAAAAGGTTTAACTAAATTCAGTGATTTATTTTAACCATTAATAATACACAATTGTCAAAATTAAATAAATAAAATCTGGACAGTTAAATAAATAAAATCCTTCTCAGTACAGTACTAACTTCTAAATCTTAATATTGAATGCGGGTAAATACCTGAACAATATACTACTTTGGCAACTAGTAAAATTTTTGGGACTGAAAAACTAACAAAGTAAAAGTTGGGGACCAATTTATACTTTTGAGTAAAAAATTGGGGACTAGAAACGCCATTATTCCTATTCGATTAAAAGAAAACAACTGTCGTCGATGCTAAAGAAAACAACTAATGAGTAGAGAGTTTAAAGTTGTTGGCTACCTAAAAACAGTTCCGTCCCTCTAGCATTGATTAACTGAGCTTATTGACTGGTCGCTCTCTAACTGGGTTGTTGACAAATTCGTACATATCAGAAGCCACATTAAAGTTCTTCACAACTAGCAACCACAAATATCTTATCTTATCGCACCTAGTCTGCTTCTCCAATGACTGTAAATTACGTTGTATATGCATCACAACTCCAAGATTAGGTTTTAAATCCTCATCTCAAAATTGTAACCATTAAAAAAAAACGAAAAATCTTATCTTACCATCACTGCATGAAGTTTGCAAGGCTGCGAACAAATTCGGAATGCGATTGGGATTCCAAGTGTGGAGCCATTCTTAAACAAGGAAAGTGACAGAGAAAAGACTT